TGGTGTATATGTAATTTTTTTTTAGATTTTTTTATAAATACAATAACAATGATTTCTATAAATTTTCATATGATAAAATGAGGATAGAAGATATTACATTACTATAAATAAAATAAATATAAAATGCAAATATACCTTTTCATAAAATGCATATTTATTAATTTATACATATTGAATGAAGGTGAGTTTACATCTTTGTATTTTTTGTGTTCTAATAATTTAAAAAAAAATTATATACATAATGTATATTTATATGGAAAATATTTAATTTGTACATCATAGTTCATATACACGTCCACCTTTCAACTTTTTTATTGTTCTCTCCGTGGGTTTTACACAAAGATCTTTGCCAAATAATTCCAATTTTACATTCTTCAAATGAATATTTATAATAACAACATCCTTTGGTATTGCTGAAATTCATGTAGATTATAACACACAATATCTGAACAAGCTAAATACTAAATTAAAGATTGTTGATTTATACTTCTAATAGTATTATCTTTTCCACAAATTCTGAAAGTGTTCTTTGTATCTTGAATAACTATACCACTTGACCCAATTAAACAAGGACATTTTGATGCTATAACTGATATTTCAGCACCATGGAAATCTGCTTTAATTAATTGCTGATTAATATTTTCCCAACTTGGATCAGTTGGATTTGTTGGCACGTTAGTAAAAAACTTGTTGCCTAACATTTGTTGCATGTAATTTAACCATAATTGATTTAATGGTAGCAAATCATTATATTTCATGTCATTTTTGCAACCAATTTTACGCAACCCAAGTTGCATTCGCTTTCTACTAGTCAATAGCTTTCCTTTACACCTTTCCTTTTTATTCCATTTATTTTTATGTTTGCTGAATAGAAAAGACTGCAAAATAATAAGACACAAATATAATAACATTTCTTATATTCCATATGAACAAAATTTTATTATTAACATTTTTTAGAATGTAATGCTTTTTGTTTTAATACTCTCTATAAGTTTGTTTTGATTTAAGCATTTTATTTAAGATTTTTGTAATTCCATAAAAATTATAATTGTGCATAATTGTTTCACATAAAATATAAATAATAAAAATATAAAACTCTAAGACATTTAAATATTTGTTATAGACTATAGAAATCCATTTAGTTATACCTTTCTTAATTCGCTTGTTATAGAATCAGTGTCTGTGGATGATAATGTATTTTGTAAAAAATTTATTATATGCTGTTCATTATTTTTGCAAGTACTAATTTGTTTTGTTATGCTTTTAGGTAATGTTACGCATACATTATCTGTAAATAATAATAAATATTATTTATGTTATAAATAGAGATATATTGACTATGAATTTTATAAATACATACGGTTTGATTCTGCCATTATAACTGCAAAGACAGTGAAGAAATTGAAATATTTAATATTACGCGAGAACTTTAATGCTTTGAAGTAATCAAAGTTGATATTCGTAGAATCAGTGTTTTTAGGTCCACAAGATACTTCATAGAAATGATATTCTTATCTATGATAAAAGGTTCTGTGCCGCCAGGCTACAATGATGTTTGTGGTACGAACACCTATACTAGTATTTGAATGTTTTGTTAGTAATCAATTATATAAATTTCTAATTTTTAACATAATAAAATTTCATTAATCTTCGTATCAATAATGAAATATTTTAAAGAATATTCATAAACAGATATTTCTAATTTTGTAATTAACATTATTGCGTCATGTGACCCTCTAGGTACCTATTAGGTACTTAAATACCTACCTATGTTTACATAACGTTAAATAAACGTAATTATTTTTTTTTCATAATATAACAAATATTTTCATTTTTATTAATATAATATATTAAATCTCAGATGCCAAACTGCCTCCTCTTAAACTATATGACTAATTCGATTCCTAATACAACTCTAAAATCTTGTATTATCGGTACCATCGAGCGCGACACCGAAATGGTAAGTACGGAGGTCTTGAGGAGCCCCGAATCCTTAGATAATAATTTCCATAAGCTATAACGTCTGTATATATGTACATATCTTACGTCTGCGTCTCGCTGTCAATTCGTAAAGGAAAAGGTTCTAGAGCAGAGGTGTGTACATAATTTACTAGATACCTCTACTCAAGGAGTTGTCCGACTGGTACAAGCGAGCATGTAGCAGTTCTATATACATATCTAGTGTTCAATACAAACGAATAAAGGTAGGTATAAAGAGGATAACTTTTCGTGAGGGGAATGTCACTAGAGAGCGAGCTCGCGTGCTCCTAGTTCGACACCATTATGAAATCAAAAAATAAAATATGTATTCATGAAACCTTAAGACGAGTACACAACAACTCCAGTTTAATTAAGCACATGTATTCAAAGATCTTTTGTGTTATTATATGAAATTTCAATTGATGTAGTATTTGATAGTACAGACCAAACAAAATGTAAATTTGTTTTCGTTTTTCCCTTTCATTCGTATTAAAAAGTATGTATTAATTTTTGTTATTACGAAAACATATTGATTATTTGAGAGCTCAGAAATGACATGTGTACTTTTAAACTACCTGTTTCGTGGCTTTATGTCTTTCGTCATGCCACACGTCAGCATAGTGCGCCCTCTACTTTTGCGCCCGTATTTGTATATATGATGTGGATGGAGGATTGACTTATATAAAAATTGTATTAGGTTAATCGGACAGCTTTTAACGTATTAAAATAATTCATCAAAATGGTGAGCATTCGTTTATCATTGTATTTAAGTCACTGTCATTTTACACGAACATTAAATTTCTTTTTCGGCAAGATTGTGCCTACGCACTTGCCACAGATGTCAGTCATCGATATTCGTGATTGTACCGAAATGGTGAGAGTTTAAAATCCATTGTATAATGAAATGATTTATTATTATTTTAGGTACTTATCGCCGCAGCGGTCTGCACTAAAGCAGGCAAAAGTAAGTAGTATTCTCCTTGTATGATTGCATCAGTTCATATATGTGTGCATTATATTTCCTATTTCTTCACATTTATATTCGTCTGTTTTAAATAACCAGAATCTTTCATAATATATTTATTTCTGTGTACATATATATATATGTACATATCAAACTGGTGCGTACAAAGTATATTTTCTTGGAACTTTGATTTTTGTAGTACTATAATATAAGTAAAACTTTATATATAACATGTGTACGAGATGTTAAAAAAAATATTCAGATTATTATGTGTTACCTTATTTTTTATTAATGTGACAAATAATTAAATTGTTATATAATTTTTCTTTTGGTTTAAACTATTTAATATTGAAATGTAAAATAACATTTTAAGGAGTAATTGTTTATAAATTGTTATTTTCTGTTAAATAGTATCAAAAATATTCACTGATTATATGTATCTTTGTACATGTACTTGGTAAAGGTATTTACACCTGACCCTCAATTTATGCAAAAATCTGTTCTATGTGGATTTGTTTTACACAAATGAAAATCATATAAATTGAATCCATCCATCCTGGTGTAAGTTTTAAAAATACATATTTATTTCACAAAGCCAAACAGAAGAAATAATAATAATAATGACATTTCAGAAAATAAAAGTACGTTTTATTCTGTGTAATTAAATTTTGATCAAGCATAAAAACTACCACATAAATAATGTTCTAATTTACTGCGTAACAAAAATTTGTGTAAATTAAGGATCAGGTGTGTGTCTTCAGTTTTTATAGTATTAATTTAGGTCAGGTACTATATTCTGTAAATTATTGTTTAATGTGCTGCTTAAAATAAATAATTTGATCTTTATAATGTCTACAAATTTCAGCTATTATTTCTCGTCAATTTGTTGAAATGACAAAAGCCAGGATAGAAGGTCTACTTGCTGCATTTCCAAAATTAATGAGTTCAGGAAAACAGCATACATTTGTAGAAACAGAATCTGTAAGATATGTTTACCAGCCACTGGAAAAAGTATACATGTTATTAATTACCACGAAAGCGAGTAACATATTAGAAGATTTAGAAACGTTGAGACTCTTTGCAAGAGTTGTACGTACATTTTTAAATATGAAACCAATAATTACTTGTAAATTATTTGCATATATTAAAAGTTTTTAAATTATAGATTCCAGAATATTGTAATTCAATAGATGAACTAGAAATAGCTGAAAATGCATTTAATTTGATATTTGCATTTGATGAAATAGTTGCTCTGGGATACAGAGAAAGTGTTAACTTAGCACAGATCGGAACATTTGTAGAAATGGATTCGCATGAAGAGAAGGTATATCAAGCAGTAAGAAAGACTCAAGAAAGAGAAGCTAAAAATAAAATGCGTGAGAAAGCAAAGGAATTACAGAGGCAAAGAATGGAAGCGAATAAAAAGAGTGGTCTCAAAAATCCTGGTTTTGGTAATTCATTTGGAAGTAGTAGCAATTTCACGCCAACCCCTAGTGTTGGAGATACTGCCGACTTTGTACCAGCACCAGCTAGACCTTTATATACACCAGCACAGTAAGAAATATTTAATATTCACGCTTAATAATATTAAATAATTCCATTATAAAAACATTTTTATTGTCTCCAAAGAAAAACAACTAATGCTGGACCAGGTGCTATGAAATTAGGAGGAAAATCTCGTGACGTTGATTCTTTTGTTGATCAGTTGAAGGAAGAAGGAGAGAATGTTGTAACAGCGCCTTTATCTACATCTGGCGCAAAACCAACATCGATTACTCCACAGATAATTAATACAGAACCGTAAGAGTTTGCTTTAATAAATTTTAACACATTACATGCCGGTTAATTCTTAGAAAACTGGTCGGAGATTTTCAATGAGACCAACTTATATCACTACATGCAAAATATTTAAATATCTTATTGTTATTTCATAAATTTTAAACAAGTAATTATCTCAAATAAAATTTAATATTTTTTAAAATGATGTGGTAGTTAGCAAAATAACGAAAGTACGTATTTATATAAAAACGAAATTTCTCGTTTCCGGTACGCAATGTGTTAATATTCTATCGTAGTTAGAAGTATTAGTTATATAGAATGTCTTCTTTATTTTAAAGAGTTCATTTACGTCAAGAAGAACGACTTAATGTACGAATTGGCAGAGATGGTGGCTTGCAACATTTTGAGCTGCATGGTTTGGTAACATTACACATTTCGGATGAAAAATGGGGACGAATTCGTGTACAATTGGAAAATAGAGATTCGAGAGGGATTCAATTGCAAACACATCCAAATGTAGATAAGGAATTATTTAGATCCCGTGGTCAAATAGGTTTGAAAATTCCTACAAAACCATTTCCATTGAATACTGATGTTGGAGTATTGAAGTGGCGTTTACAGGCTCAGGATGAAACAGCGTTACCTGTTTCAAGTAGGAATTACTCGATTATTATTTAATAATATCAGTAAACTTATAATGTAATATCGTGATTATATTATTTTATAGTAAACTGCTGGCCTTCTGAAAATGGAGAAGGTGGGTGTGATGTCAACATAGAATACGAGTTAGAACAAGTTAATCTTGAACTAAATGATGTACAAATAAACATTCCATTACCGATTGGCTGCAATCCTATTGTAAGCGAATGCGATGGACAATACACACATGAAGCACGACGAAATACGCTTGTATGGTCTTTGCCAATAGTAGATGCATCAGCAAAATCAGGTTCAATGGAGTTTTCAGCACCTTCATCTACTCCGTCTGATTTCTTTCCTCTTCACGTTTCATTTTCATCAAAGACATCATATGTTAACATTAAGGTATATTAGAATTTCACATATACTTTCTACATTGGACACATATAAGAATATTTGTTGTATTTAAAGTTTCTTACAGGATTAAGTAAATTTGTGTTTTTTACAGGTGATAGAAGTTTTACTTGTCGAAGATGAAAGTCCTGTGAAACATTCAGTAGAAACAGTTTTCTTTACTGACAACTATGTAGTGGTATAAGTATATGGAGAATAAGTTAACTATTTGTGTTAAATGTGAACAATGTTACTAACCTAGGCGCTGGTCATCGAAACTTCAATGATAAATATCTTCAACTTACTTATAGTCCCAATTACAATTTCATTCCATGCATACGCTATTTTTGTTCAAAATACATTATAATGGTTTAAAACACATCAAACTTATATGGTACAGCTATAAGTATATGATTATAATCAGTTTCATTTAGCACTCAGCTAACCTCGAACTATTAGAAAAAAAAACTGTACAAAGATATTTTATAATTGGTAATGAGAAAACATCCAAAATTTTTTCATATTTTAAAAAGTAAACGTGTTAGTTATAAATATAATTTGAACTGTATTAGTGTTATATTTTAAATTCAAAACATTTTTTTCATACATTTTAACTATTATAAAGTTTTATTATAAAATAGAAAATGAAATATTAGTGTATGAGGAAATATAATAATATTTTTTTGTAAGGTACGTACACATATAGTACGGGAATGATATATTGGCTAGTGGTACGACACAGGAGCAAAAGGGAGTCTTTCGCTGCGTGCTTGTTTACTCTCACCGTTACGCAAACGGAATTAGTATGCGTGATCATTTCAGTTAATAGCACGCTAGAATCGAAAATGCATGTGAGAGTAAGCACACCTCCTTCCATTTTTATCGATTAGACCCGTATTCCTCTGCCTAGCCAACTTGTTATCTCCGTATATATATATATATGTATATATAAATATATATACATATACACACATACAATACAGATAAAACCATAAAGCCATAATAAAGCAGATAGTAAAAGTAATAAATAATCATGTTTTAACTAATCAAGTTTGTTAAAGGATATAATTGCATACAACAATTTTACTTTCTTTATAGTAGTATTATTAGAAGCATTTAATGTTTATTGTTATATCCATTTTGTGTAAAGGATGATAAAGAAAGTAACTATATACGTGCTATTAAAAAAAAG